AGCAGGAGTTACTGAGGCACAGACGAAAAAGAATTAAAGTGGAGGTTTTCTGATTTTCAGTACAACTTACATGTTGCTATGTCTGTGGAACTAAAATATTATATCTCCTATAGAAATGTTATGTTTCTCTTAAACATGATCTATTAAAATAACTGGTCAATTTTTAATGACATTTATTTCAGGAATGCTTTTTTCCTGTATCATTTACTTAGCTTACATTCTGCAACTCTCTTAGCTTCAACGACTAAAACAAACTTACTAAGATCTTTTCTTTTCTGCTTCTCACAGTACTTTGATTAAAGCCACTGCAAAAGAAAATGAAATATAAAGTAAAACTTTTCTCCAGAAAAAAATATTTAAAGTAGTAGGTTTATTCATTTCACAAAATAATCAGCCAACAGATCAGATATTTATATTTAAAATCCAGGACCATTTTTTAAAAAGTCAAACCACAGTTTACTAATACTTCAATGTTTATGAAAAAAAAAAAATTATAACTATCTCAGTTTTTACGAGATTCATAAGGCAAAAATACCTGGGATGTAATTACTCTGTGGCTCAATTCCCGCTGGGAAATTAGTGTTTTCTGGAATGGAGTGGGTATAATCATCCAGAGGCGGTAGTTCTGTTAAGATCTCAGTGTGCCGTGGCACTAATACTGGAGGCAAAACTAAAAAAGTAAAAGAAATCCAAGTTAATGGCAAGGAGCAAGGCGTGGGGGCCAGGACCTGTATTAAACAACTTCACATACACACATACTAAAATGTAGCCTGGCTTAATTTTTTAAATGTAAGGCCTACCTATTCAGTTTTATCCAAGTTATCAAGAAACTGACAAATCTGATTTTGATTTTAACTTATTATGCAGTCCACAATCTAAACTGCCAAGTCCCAATTAATCTTGCACTCTTGGGCACAAGGTGATCCTGGTAATATTATATTACCATAAAAGTCCATATATCCCCATTGGAAAGGTCGCAGAAAGATCTGTAAAATTATATTTAGGGTATTTTCTAAAAATACAGCTGTAGTCTTAAAATGTTTCAAGTACATAGATAAGTAAACTAAAAGTCTTGCTATGAGTTTTACTAAACTGCTTAGATGGAAATGATGTCATGAAAGTACTTAAAAAAAACCATTCAGAGAGCAAAATGACTGAAAACAGTTAATGTAGCAGACAAAGAAGTATATCAGTTTTGTTCTAAGCAGACTGAATTTGTAGAATCAGAATTTCCTATATGTGTACTTTGATGTAAAATAGTACGCTATCTCAAGAAACTATCTTTCCATTTTTTCCATAAAATTTTTTTTAAAAAGTATTTTTAATTACTTTAAAAAGTAATAGACTGAATTTAAAGTAATTTATTAGAATTTTACATCAAAATTTCCCTAGGTAAATTAGGTATATGAGTATCTAACACACTTAAGTTCAAGCACTTAATTTAAATAAGGAAAAAAATCTAACTTTCCTACCTGGTGTCTCAACTCTCTGGTAGTGGTAAGGGTTTACACATACTTCATCCTTTTTAAGATTAAAAGCATATTCGCAGTTTTCAATTGCTTTGAGTTCGTGATGACTGTGAAGATCAGGCCAGCGCCATAATCGGCAATATATAACATGTGGCAGTCCTTTTCGATGAGATACCTGAAGTCGACCATCAAGAGACCTATTGGGAAGCAAGGGGAAAAGAAAGGTGGAAGCTTTAAAAAACAGGAATAGTCAATTGGACTAAATAAGTAAAACAAAAGCATAAAAGAAAGGAATGACAGACAGTTTTAGTGAGTACGAGGAAGAAAAATGTACTATTTAATGGATCTGATAGAAAAGTAAACAGTAGCTCTAGCAGATGTTTCTTAAAAACATGCTACATAAATGACTCATATGTCAGTGACTGGTTAACCATTTGTGAAAAAATTGATTTTTAAAGAGTATCATATAGTTATATTTGAAAAACTTGTCAACTTTTATCTTTAGTAAATCAAACTCTTATTTAAGGGTGCTTTTAAGGACATTAATTCTGTAGGTGACTGAATTATCAAAAAAAGGAACTAGTGTGAAGAATGGTAAATACTAACAATGATGTAAACGTAACTTACTCAAGCTAATGTAACTTATTACCCAGTTGTGACTGTGTTGAGTACTGAGGTATTATTTCTATAGCTCACACATAAATGCAGATGGTGATGAAAATGATGAGATGAAATGGACGAATACCAATATGTTCAAAGAGAATGAAGTGATTAAAAAAAGATAACGTAAAAAATGAGTTAGCCTAGCGTTGTGTTCAGTAATTAACTATGTATTTATTAGTATAAAGGAGATGAGGCTTAGATGATAGCAAGAAATTTAGCAAAAACTGGTTATGTATCTATTTAAAAATTAGGCCAACAACAGATTATAATCTAATCTCAAACTAAAATGTGAATATAGTTATCAAAGTTCCTATTCTTTAGGGGATGCAATTATTTAAAGAAAATTAGAATTTCATTGATCAAAACTTCAGCTGAAACATTTAATATACTTTTAATACTGGCAAGCAGGTATTTTAAATGCCATGCCTTATTTTACATTAAGGAAACATCCTAGGCAAAATTATACTAAGCAACCCACTACTGGTCTTCCAAAACACCCCCCTCCCACAAGATCTCTAAGATTCGACAGAGGGCAGAATATTCACCTGGTTTGTTCAGAGAAGCTGTAAAGGCCTGTTGTATCCCACTGATCTATCGTATTTGGTGTACTCAGTCCCCAAATTTCAGAGCAAGTGCTGTGCATAAATTGAAAAACAAAAAATTGATGTGAACATGGAAGCGTGGTTATTCAAAATACCATGATGTAAAACATGGAAAATGTACAGAATACTTCCTTCACCCAGAAAATATACATTGCTTCGCTTTTTCACAGGCATTTAGTGCTGGTTTCTATATTTTCTATATGAAGGAAGCCAATAAAATGGAACATGTGACTCCAGATAAGTTATGATTATGTTTTTAAAATGTGAACACCAATGCTAGCTTAATGAAATCATACCTATAATGCCCCTTCCAGTTTCCTCTACTCACAACAAAAGATCTAATACCTATGCCATTAGCCTTACTAACAGTGCTTCATTTTACAATCCTGTTTTAAAAAAACTTACTATACACAAATGTCAACTGGTATTTTTAATATAGGAAAAGTTCCAATTAAAATAGATATATATCCACAGTTAAGATTTTTCGAGTTATTTGTGTGAGATACTTACATATTCGGTTTTATAGAAAATTATTATTGTTCTCTTACTACTAGGACAAGGAAGTAGGTTTTGAAGTCACCCTAAAGTATCACACCACCTTAAAAGTCTTAAGAAATTTCTGAGGACTAAAAATATGTGAAAACACCAAATTCTTAAAAGATAGTAAGAATATGAAAAATTCATATGGTGAATTTTGTGGTAATAATTCTCCCTGTTTCCCTTGCCACTACTTTATTTCACAGTCACTTCTCATCTATGGGAGAAGGGAAGGAAGGACGTTTAACACTTAAAAGGCAGTCTGGAATGAAACTTTGACTGCTAAGGTGTCTCAGGTCATAAGTTGTATTTTTAAAATGAGAGTTCAGAAGGTAATCACTGAAACTCAATTCCGTTTCTTACATATCACAAAATCATCAAAATTTCAATAAGGAAGAAACATTTTGAAACAACCTCTGAAAATAAAATCGAACAACTGATTAAATTGCAGATGTACATAGTGCTAACAAATGAGGTAACTCCACATTTCAAACAGCAATGGTGAAAAGTGCCATCTTCCTTTGGCTGGGTAGGTAGTACACACTCATCACATGGGGTGCTGGGTTTCGGTGCTACTGGGACTCTTGCACAGCCACTGGGCAGCAGAAACACCTCATGACAAGCTTTGGGGTCTACAGTAACTGCAATCCTGGACAGTTAAAAAAAATCAATTTTCAGATATTTTCCAGCACCTTGAGATATATTACAAAATGTCTTGCTTTTTAGGCTGCAGATGTCTCTTTCATTTCCCAAACTATAAAAGAAAGAAAAAGCCAAGACACTGGAAGATATAACTCAGGCCTTTTCTCACCGCCCCCCCCCCCAAGGGTGAACTAAAAAACCACGACATAAATGGTTCTTTTATTTAAGATATTTATCAAATAGCTACTGGAAACATATAGCACCATACAGTTTAAATCATGATTAAAAACAACTAAATTTTAGGGTCTTATGAATTTGAATTTAAACTTCAGAAGAAATACTATACAGCTAATTCTTCTTTCTTTGAAAATAATTCAAGGAAAATGATTAACAAAAGAGTGAATCAAGAGGCAATTCAGCTCTTATGAGACTAGAATGAACAGTAACTCTGGGACTGATACAAGAACCAGAATCTTAAAAAGCACAAGAGTTTAAGTTGTGCTTTATTCAAGCCTTGAAATAAATCAGAGAATAATAAACAGGAGTTGTTAAAAACATACAATCAATCTAGAGGAAGAAAGACCTAGGTCCCAAATCTAACTAGCCACTTTCCAATTGCCATCCATCATAGGGTATAGGTAAGCCTCAGTTCTATCAGTTATTGTATCTCTCTCACAAATTAGAAGGTTTATTTAAAAGTAATAATTTGCTTATAGCTAGTAAAATTTTTGCTTGGTTACATAAGAAAAAATATTTTTAAAAAGAATCAATTTATAATAAAATAAACAAAACACCAAAATAAATGTAATAATAAATATGTCAAAACTACACGAAGAAACATTTGAATTATTACTAAAGAACACAAAAGTAAACCGAGCAAAAGAGAAATACATCTTCCTAGAAAAACACCATACTGATATTAATTCTCCCAAATTTTATATATCTGCAACCTTGATAACGATTTTTTAAAAATGTTAAGATCCAGATAACAGTATTCTAAATATAGCATATCAAAATAAACAAGAATAACTAGGAAAACTCTGACAAAGAGTAGGGACTGGCCTTAGCCAAATTCTGAAACAAGTTATAAATCCTCCAAAATGGAAACATGCAATTAGCAAAAGAATACAGAAACATAACAATATTTGAAAATACAATAAAATCAACTACTTAACAGTGGAGAGAGACCAAAAACAGATAAAAATGGGAGTTAATCTTTGTAAGAGAACAACTGCATTGGAGGAGAGCGTTTCTGTGGCTTTGTACCCAGGCGCACACCACAGTCTAAGAAAGGCAGAATAACTAGACTATAAGCAGAAAACTGCAGTTTCACTGACCTGCAGAATCAAAGCCTGGATTTGGGGCTGCCCAAGAGACTGGAAAAAGAAGGGGGAAATTCTGTAAAGAAGGAAGCAACACAGGGGGAAAACATCAAAATATGAGTGTGAACTCTGCCCAAATCCTTGACTAACCCCTAAACTACCCAGGTGGGAGAAATTGGGGACCTGCTGAAAACCAGCTCCTGGTGGTCCAAAGGAACTGAGCTGAGATTTCAGTTGTTGCTGACACAGATGCAAACAGTTTGGACTTTGAGGCCACCCAGAACTATCTGCTTGTACAAAAATCAATATCCTTCAGAGGAAGGTAACAGAATTTAGAGTCTTTATAATGTTTTGCCTCAAATACCCAGTATAAAACTACAAATTACTAAACATGTGAATAGGAATATGCGAGCCCTTAGTTCAAAAGAGAAAACAGCCAGTAGAAACAGACCACTAAGATGAACTAACAGACAAGGTTTTTAAAGTAAATATTATGAGTATGTTCATGGACTTAATGAACAGATGGAAGTCTCAGCTGAGTAACAGAAACTATAAAAATGAATCAAAGGAAATTCCAGAACTGAAAATTACAAAATTAGAAATAAAGAATTAACTTGATGGTTGAAGAAGACAGAAGAGTCAGTGAATTTAAAGATGGGTCAATAGAAATCATTTTAATCAGAAGAACCGAAATAAAAAAGACTGTCTAACTGAATGAAGTCTCAGGAACACGTACAGTCTCAGAAAGAGGTGAAGCAAGAACAGACCAGAAAAAAATATTTGAAATAATGGCTGAAATACTTTTAACTTTATGAAAAACTAAACTCATACTTCCATGAAACCCAATATCAAGCAGATGAAATACAAAGAGAATCAGGCTTGGGCATGTCGTTATCAAAATGCTAAAAACAAAAGATAAAAAGAAAATCTTTAAAGTAGTGAGCACTACAAAAATTCTTGGCACAAAGAACTCCATCCAAACCCCTGCACTAAGAGACTCCACCAAACTCTAGCAGGGCTTCCAGGAGCCTAAGGGAGTCCCTGGTATGACCCAGATACTTCTGAGTTCCTGTCTAGAAAAGCTCAAGGCTGCCAAAAGAATTTATCATTTGTCCAAGCTAACACCTATCCATAGGCCCCTGACTTCCTTTTCCAGAGCATTTATTTAGAAAACTTAAAATTGTAAATCCTTCCTCTCTCTGAGATGTATATGTGTCTCCTACAACTCAGGAGTGTCTTTTTCAAGGACCAAAAACCAATCCTTTGAAATGTAATCAGGAAGGATAGGGCTTCCTTCTCCCAGCATAACTTCAATAAATGGCATTTAGCAGACACAGATGGCCTAATCACACTGATACCAACATACTTGATCATCCCCTTCTTGGGTAGTTTTTCACTTCCTTGACTCTGTTCAAGCATCCATTCATCCTCCCTTACCTACGCCCACCTCGTCCTCCTAGTCACCTCAATGCCAATTGGAACAGAGCTCAGTTCTTTCCCCTACTGCAATGGTTACTGAATAAAATCTGTTTTTAACACCTTTAACCAATGTCCAGCTGTGTTTAACTTTGATACCAGCTAGAGCATAACCATCCATATATGTAGAGGCATAAACACATGAATAACAATTTCTCATCAGAAACAGTGGAAGCCAGAAAACAACAGAACATATTTAAAGAGCTGAGAGAAAAAAAAAACCCACCTCAATCTAAAATCTGTAACTAACAAAAATGCCCTTCACAAAAGAAGTCAAAACAAAAACACATGTTCAGATAAAAACTGAGATTTCATTTCCAGCAGATTTTGCACAAAGACATGCTAAAGGAAATTTCTTCATGATAAAGAGAAATGACAACAGATGGGAACTAAATCAGAGAGAAAAAAATAAGAAAACTAGAAAGTAGAAGCGTGTAGGTAAATGTAAAAGATATTCTTTCTGCTCTTAATTTCTACAAAAGGGGGATGACCAATTATGGTAAAAATTATAAGTCTAAAAGTACGTAGATGTAATTTATATGTCAGCAGCAGCAGAAGCAGCTGAGTGTATTAAAAACAACTATACTGTTGCAAAGCTAAGGATGCATAGTCATTAGGAAAGCCACCCCCCAACTTCCAAAAGGCAAAGGATACAGCTAAAATGCATTTGTAAAATTAAAATGACCTACTAAAAAAATATTAATCCCAAGGAAGAAAAAAAACAAAACAAAAAAACAGATGACAATAAAAAATAGAGTAAAAGTGTAAAGAGTAAAATCCAACCATATCAAGAATAATGTTATACATAAATACACTACATATTCCAATAAGAGGCAGAGACTTGTCAGAATGAATACAAGACACAAAATATCTACAAAAAAAGATGTACTTTAAATAAACTGACATATCAAAGGAAGAAATGAACAAATCAGCAATCTCAGTTAACTCCTTGGATATACTACAAAAAAAAAAATAATAATTTCTACGTCATAGAAGAGCTGCACAATACTATCAAACACCTCAATATATCTGACATTTATAGAATCCTCTTCAATC